AAATCCAATGGCTCATATTCATTGAAGATTACTATAAATAGGGGTAGAGAGTGAGGGGTTAGAGGTGTGAAAATTTTTGTAACTCCTTTTGGAGAGGAGGGCTACTCTTAATTGAGAAGGCCTTCCAAAATTGTAACTTTTTGTTGCAATTAATAATAATAATTTTTTCACCACTTTAAATTTTTCTCTTCTTCTCTTTGTTGGATGATGAAGATGAAGATGAAGATGGAGAATTATTTGAAGGTTTGCATTTCTTTTCTTTTTCTCTTTTATTGCTTATTAGTTTAGATTTATTTCTATGCTTGTAGTTAGATTTTATTTTCTTGTTAAATAGCCAAGAGGCTAGAACCCTCTTGCCTTAGATTTATTTCATGCTTATAGAGTAGATTTATTTTCTTGCATTTAATTCTTGTAATTTTATTTTGTAGTTTAGATTTTGCAATTTATTTTGTAGTTAGATTTTAATTTCTTATACTATTCACCTTGAGGCTAGAACCCTCTTGGGTTTAGTTTTTCTTTTTGTTTATTTTTATTTTGTTTGATTCGCCTTTAGGCTAGAACCCTCTAGGGAATCACCATTTTCTAAGAAGTGGGTTCAATTGTAGATTACTCATATCTATAATTGAATCCACCATCTTTAATTTCTTGTATTTTCTTTTATTCTAGAATTTTGTTCTTCATTCTTGATTTTTTTTATTTGTTTCTTGATTTTATTCATTTTTCCTTCTCATCTTATTGATCATACTCATTCTTTTTCAAATCCACTCTCACTTACACTTTGCACCTATTTACACACCATTTTCACTCTTTCAATCTCTTCACAATCACATTCACTTATCACTCCTATTTGTCACGCACACAAAATAAGAACCAATTTCATATTTTCTCCTATAAAATCACCTTTCTCGTGGGATTGATATCTTAAATACTATAACTTGACACGGTTGTGCACTTGCAACCTTTTTGGTACATGTTTATGCCGCATCAAGTTTTTCGGATACGGTTTAGCACCCCTACCCACAAGACCATCACAACATTCTCATTTCTGCTACACTCACTTTTGAACATGTTATTTTTTAATTGCCCAACACTCTGACCCTTAAAGCATAATTGGTCTTATAACCATCCTATAGGATTTTTCCTTTAGTTTCATTGGTATTTTACGATCACATAAGACTCCCGAAGCACTCCTCCATTTTAACCATCATAATTTAATTCGATGCACAATATCATCCTCTATCTTATCATCATGCCTAACGATTGATCCTAAATAACAAAAATGATTAGTTTTAGGTATTTTTTGGCCATCAATATGTACCATAGACTCTCTTTCTTTCCTAATTTTACTAAAAATAAACTTCATACATTCTATTTTTTTCTACTAATTCTAAAATATTTAGATTTAAGAGCTTGTCTCCATCTTTCTACTTTAAAAATAATGTCTCTTCTAGTTTCATCAACTAGCACTATATCATTACAAAATAACATACACCATAGAATTTCGCTCTGAATGTGCTTAGTAAATTAGTCTATAACTAATATAAAAAGATAAAGCCTTAAAGCTGACCCTTGGTGTAAATATATAGTAATAGGAAACAGTTTAGTCTCTCATTCATTAGTTATTACTCTAGTTGTCACTCTATCCTACATATCTTTAATCATATTAATATATATACTAGATACATATTTCTTATCTAACGTTCACCACATTACCTCTCTAGGCACACTATCATAAGCTTTTTCTAATCAATAAAAACTATATATAGATCCATTCTCTTCCCTCTATATCTCTCCATCAACCATCTCAAAATATGTATAGGTTCTATAGTTGACCTCCCAGGCATAAAACCATGATTTTTTATAACTGTATAGATTAATTATCAAAAGCATATTTTAGTTATTTTACATTTTTAAATGATGTCAGGGAGGTTTGGTGAGAATAATGTGAAAGATTAGAGCGAGTTTTGTAAGACATCCCGTAGTTGAAAGGGGATTTTCTCTAAGTTTCAAAGT